AACATATATTCAAAGTTTCAGCCTCCCAGCTTTCCTGGTTGCCGAGTTGAAAGTGGGTGACAAAATACACTCGCTTTTCGAACACACACACACACACAGACAGCCTCTCGACAGTATGCGTTTTTGCTCGCTGTAGCAGCGCTGTAGCGCTGTCTGATAGCGCTGCTATAGCGCTACACAGCAAAAACGCATAATATGCGAAATGGAGTATGCAGCCCAAGATCGGAAGGATCAGCGTGCGGGAGCATCCAGATAACATGACTTACACAGGTACCGACACCGAAATCCTGAATGATCTTGGTAATCTTGGTTCATAGATTAACTTAAGAATACTAGCAGAGAATATTCATAAAATGTTATTTTCAATTTCATTATTCTTGAAACACTTTTCTGAGGAAGCTTCATCTAGGTATGTGGCGAAAAGCTTAAAATAATCATCACTTAAAGGTCAGCCGCACATTTTTTAAACTTACACTCGCTTCCTGTAATTCAATTATTTTCTGAAAAAGAATTCCCAAAGGGCTCATTACTTTTCATCATTTTCAGACTAAACCTTAAAAATTAGTAGATCCTGTCCTCTTTTCATGTATTACGAGGGGAAATGCGTATCTCTTCCCTGATAGCATCATTTCCGCAATTCCCATAATCTATTTCTTTCAAGAAAAACTAAACAACCAGAGCTTTGATTAAAATTTCGATCAAAGATTTTTAGAACCCAATTACTTAAAGGTCGGCCGCACATTTTTTAAATTTGCACTCGCTTCCTGTAATTCAATTATACCTGAGTGAATTTTTTCCTGTGGTGATCTAGCACTGGCACTTGCCCGAGAGTTCAAGCTGCTTTCAGTCGTTTCTAAAACACTCAGAAGTAAGAACAGTCGGAAAAACTGTCAAATTTCAAAAGCAGAAGCTACCTACAAATCTGAATTTTTTTTGGCGCCACCATTCAGGAATGCATTTTTCTTCAACAGAAGTTTAGGTATAAAGGCTTTTTGATCCGAATAATTTGCCTACTTTAAGACTATTGAAAAATTGTATAATTTCAGAATCATTACGCTAAAATCACCTTTTTGCCTCTCTCGCTTCCCCACAGACGAACGCAGGCGGAAATGATATTTACAGCTTTGCCACTTACATTTGAGTTTTAGCAAGATTCACATGTATGAGCGCTCTCTACTTTCATTTTGTATGGGTTTTAATGAGTGCGAGCTAATTAATAGCTTTGGACTCAATGCATTTGAAGAAACATTGCGAAGATGCGCTTTCCAGAAAGAGCCAGTTACTGAAGAGGAACGCCGCCGAGATACCTAGAAAGAAGTAAAAACCTTCGTTATTTGTCTTTTCGAATTTTTCATGTATGGCAAGCAAACAATCTGTTACAAATTTCTTGATATTTATGAATCAGCTTTTCAGCTCAAGACATATATTATCTCTCGGCCTTTAGGCCTTACAATGCGCCAAATCGCAAAACCAAATTTAAGGGCTCAAGACATATATCTCACGTGTTATTTGCATTTCACTTTCCTCTTCCGTTATTTCTATTTCATTTTTGCATGCATTTTTGATTTGTTAAAAAAAATACCATTTTGTGGCTTGTGTTTTCTGTCACAAATGATTTCTAGCTACACGGTATCTTATTACGATCGAGACGAGACGGCGGTGCCAATCATATCTGTTTTTGAACGATTAATGGCATCTGTTTTTGTTCTGGGAACCATGGAGCTGGTAATGATTTCAGGAAATATAACGAAGATCAGACTATCAACAAGTTGACCATCACGCGACGCAGCATTGATCAGACAAGCAATTGGAAAAGTTTTCTGTTGTATTTTTGGAGCAATATTTTGTGAGTTGCAGTTAAGCCAAGTAAAAAATTTATACGGAGCTCGTAACGGTTCCGTTCAGCTGTCTGCTCAAATGAGAAGTAATTATTTTCTCTATCAGAAATTTTTGTTTTCTGTATAATTATCTTGTCATATGTTTATCCTTTCTTTGTACGTCTCGCTATTTAATCAGTACTGTGTTACCTTTGCGACCGTTCGAACCAGTGCTAATTAGCATGTTTTTTTTTTGTGGTAGGTTTTATTCCGGAATTTTTAAACTCTCATTCTTTTCAGCTTTGCTCGTTACTTCAGTTTCAACAAAATGTTAAAAAAAAAAATTAAAATCCAAAGATATCGTCCCATCCTTTCTCAAAACACAAGTTAAAAATTTAAAAGTACTTTTTCAGTTTTTCTCGTTCAGCATACTTCTCGCAACTGCGCAGCAGTACTGTGATCAAATATTTCGTGAATAACTGTAGTGGTCAGTGCTGGCCAGTGATTTAATGAATCAGACAGGCGCTGAGAAGATGATTTGTATGTGTGGCTGGGGATAGAAAAAAGCATATAGTACACATATCTGAAACGGTGGCGCTCTCCAGCAAAGCTGATGCTGCAAATCGAAAGTTTGGTCATCTTGCAACATCTGGTCTCACATACCCTCTGGCTGCTGTTGATAAAAGGCCCAGGGCTATTTGTCAAAAGAGTTTAGCTCCTTAGGAAATGGCCGGCCACCTGATATTTCAAAAATGATGCAGTTTTAAACTATTATTTTGATTTTTTGGGAAAAATGAAAACTATCGAAGTATCAGCAGTTCTTATGATTCCTGTACTTTTATTTGGCATGTTCGGTAATCTAAGCTTGCTCAGCGCAACATACAGATTCAAACAGCTCCGAAATCGCAACGGAATTTTGGTTGCACTAATTGCCTTTTTGGACTCTGTAAGTTTTCTACTTTCAGACGTAGTTTTCTAATTTCACAATCAAATTTCTTAATTTTGAATATTTTGGGCTCATTAACTGCTGTAAAATATGTTGATGTTATTATAAAATTACATAAGGTTTTCTTTTTCCTTTTTACTCTATGAATCATAATCCAATTTGCATTTTTTCGTGTTTACAGTTTTCTACATTTTCGTCCTTCCTTTTTTTTACATCCTCAAAAACCTTATTATACATTCTTACCCTTTGTCCCATTTTGCTCCTATTTTGGAGTGCGTTTGCATTCCCAGCCATTTTACTTCCTCATTTTTCCTTTCATTCCTTTTTTTTAACACCCTTAAAAACCCTCATTCCCATTTTTCTCTTTTCACATTTCACTTCACCTAATTATCATTTTCACATTTTCAACCCCTCCAAAAGACTATCACATCCTCTTTTGGGGCGGTTCCTATCTCTTTATAAACCTCCCCACCATTCTTTGTGGTCTCAGTTCACTCCTTCGCCGCGACAACGGCTCTCAGTCTTCTTCTTCACCGGGACCACGGCACCAAGTCTTTTCGACGCACTCTTCAAGGAATCGACCTCGTCTCATATACTCCTGGCCCTCATCAACCATGCTCTGTCATAACAACTCTTGCTCGGCAAGCTCACAGACTCGATAGATTAAAAGCGCCACACTTCGTGCCGTTTATTTGCTGTTTGCGCGGTTTATTATCAGTAAGTCATAGACTTGATTTTGCTTCTCTACAGTGCGCGTACGCTCAGAGCACCACGCCACACAGCGATCCGCACACGCAAACACTTATAAAAATTTTTACTCTGCCTTTTTAGATTGTGTAAATTTCGTTTTTATATGTCTTAGATTTTGTGTTTTTTTTTTAATTTCAATTAATTTTTTTGCAGGAAGAAACTAGAATTTTGCATTATTTAATTTGTTATGACTAATTTGATGATTCTAGTGCAGAACTTGGCTCAAGTTGAAAAGTTAGCAGCGTGTCTGCTAAATGAACATGAAACCAACCTACACCACCATTTAAGCCACAAATACGGACTAGAACTTGACGTTGCCTTGTAACGGGGTGACATCAACGGAGACCCACAAATTACTTTTAAAGTAATGAAAAAATGAGAAATTTTTCGACAGACGGCATTAGATAGTATTTTGTTTTCTCAGTAAACAACAATTTTTGTGGTTCTTCAATACACAATATTA